CGCCGAGAAAAAAGTGCACACGTCCGAGCGCTGCCAAGGCCAGTGCGGAGCAGGGGCCCACCGTCCTGGCATTCCTATAGGCCAACCGCGAAAACATGTTCTAACCACAGCGATCCAAAGCAACGCTCTGGGAACCTACGCCCGATGTTTTCAAGCAGGACGGTCTCAGCCAGAAGTGTTCGAGGGTCCTTTCGCGCAAGCCACAACGGCAGGCTCTTAGAACAGTCTTCGGTTGGCCTATCGGCAGGCCGGGACGCTTCGCTCCGCTTGGCAGTGGGGAGGCGGTACACCCTGCGAAATGCTTTAGAAGTCATGGGTTAAGAAATTCATAGTCTCAGAGTTTGAATAAAAACCCAGATTGCCTATCAAAATCTTAAGATTTACATTGAAACGTTAAGAATAATCGAGACTCTGGCCGAAGACTTAAGTTTTCTTAAGCATCGCCTCAGGTGTAGATACCCCCCCGAACGCATCAAAAATACGAGGCAGCACGGACTGGAAGCAGCATCATCCCCGAAGGAAGGGCCACCCGGCCGTGAGTGACCCTGACCCCCCCAAACTGGCCAGCAAGGAGCAGTCAACAGCTGAGTGGCAGAGAGGAAGGAGGGAAGGAAGAGGGAGGAGGGAGGAGGGAGGAGGAGAGGCAGGAGCAGAAGGAGCAAAATGAGGAGGAGGAGGAGCGGGAGGAGGAGGAGGAGGAGGAGGAGGAGGAGGAGGAGGAGGAGGAGGAGGAGGAGGAGGAGGAGCGGGAGGAGAAGGGACAGGACCAGGAGGAGGAGGGGCACTAGAGCAAACCCATGATGCATCAGCGATGCTGCAATGGACCCTCCCGTCCCAAGTCCCTTCTCAACCAAGCGCGCGAAAGCTATCATCATCTAGTTCGGCGGGGTGCCCAGCGAGGTCCACGGTTTGTGAGAAAACACGCTCCGCGTCCCAGACGTTGAGCAAGGTTAGACTTATGACGACGATGCCCGAAGAAATCTCGAGCGAGAGCCAAAGTATGAAAAAACATACGTGCGTGCAACCGCTACATCTGTTGAAGCTTCTGGTCTGCAGGCTTCATGAAGACGCGAAAGAGTCCAAACTTGAAAAAGAGCAGCCCTCTATCCTTGTAGTTGCTGCCAGCTCTGAATTAAGACGAGTGCGCGCGACGCTGAGGCGGGAACTTCATCTGGAAAACGACCCCCCTCTTCATCGGAGAAACTGTTGCTGGCCCCAGGCTTCAGGACCGTGAGGACTGAGGACGTCCCAATCGAGACGCCCGGCCCGCGCGACAGAGACGAGTTGTCTGTAAAGAATGCGATGGAAGAGGAGGAGGAGGAGGAGGAGGAGGAGGAGGAGGAGGAGGACGAACAACACGAAGAGGAGGAGGCTTCTTGGGGGTCTCCTGGGGGGTTCCTGGCGGCCTCTTCGGAACCTGCTGGGACGTCCGAGGGGCCTCTTGGAGGCCTTGGGGGTCTCTGGGGGCGCGTTGGGGGCCACCTGGGCCGTCCGATAGCCCCCTCGGCCCGTTGGACGCCTTTGAAGGCCGCCTTGGGAAAGAGGAGGAGGAGGAGGAGGAGGAGGAGGAGGAGGAGGAGGAGGACGACGACGACGACGAGCACCACGAGCAGCACGAGCACGTGAAGCGACGCGCCGGGCCGACATGGAGACGGACGACAACGATGGGGAGAGGCGGGGAGCACAGCCGCGCAGGCAGGATGGAGACGACGCGCCCCGCAGCTGCCCAGCCAAGGCCCGCGGCTGCGGGAAGAGGGCAGCACCCACCAAACCACCCCAACCCAACCTGAAGGCCTCAATTTGCCCTCCATTTCCAGTGGGGGGGGGGATCGGGGAACGTCGAAAAAACACATGGTCCCCGTACCCCCCCAACCCGAAATTCGGGTCAAATTCGTGCCTTCGGGTTGGGTTGGGGTGGTCTGGTAGGTAGTCAAGAGGGCAGCGGAGGAGGACGACAGCGACGGCGGCGGCGGCGGCGGCGGCCCCTCCGGCGGGCCACGGCCTCGCACGCTGGGCGGCCGCGGGGCCAGCTGCGCCGGCGGCCGCCCCGCGCGGGCCGCGGGGCGCGCGGCCGCACGGGCCGGCTGCGCCTGCAGGTCAGCTCGCTGCAACAAGAACGCTGTGAGTCGTCATCATCATCATCATCATCATCATCATCATCACCACCACCACCACCATCATCATCATCATCATCATCAGCATCAGCATCAGCATCAGCATCAGCATCAGCATCATCATCATCATCATCATCATCATCATCAGCATAATCAGCATGATCATATGCAAAACAATCACAATGTCCATCATCGTAATCTGAACACACAAAAGGGCCCTCACGGTGCTCCACTGAAAACGCGGCGCGGCGCACATCGCCATGCGAAGCTAGTTCCAAGAATCGCACGATCCTCCGTTCAAGGACGTGGCGCGGTCCACACCCCGCGCGCGCCGCCGAAGTGAGCTGATCCCGTGCCCTTCGCGATCCTACATTGAAGGTGTGGCGCGGGGCACATCACATCCGCGCGGCCGTTCTGCGCCTCTCACGATCGCACATGAAAAGCGTGGTGCCGGGAACATTCCGCCCACTCGGCGCCTGCTCGAGGGCGGCGCGCGCTTTGCAGGGACCACCACGCGCCCAGAGGCGGCCCCAGACACTCCGAAACGATGTCGCGCGCTTCTCCCACGGGCCGTCGCGCGTTCCTGTGCTGCTCCTCCTACCTGCTGCTCCTCCTCTCGCATGCTCCTCGCTGCTCCTCCCTGCTCATCCCTGCTCCACGTGGCCTTCCCCGCTGGTTTGCATGCACTAGAGTATGCGTGTGTCTGCATATGCGATGGGTTTCTATTGTGGGTGGGATGTGGGAACCGCGCCAGTGTATGACACGTCCAGTATGTTGACATGTTCGCGCGACGTTGGCTCAAAGCCCTCAACCCGCAACCCTAAAAATGCTGTTCAATATGACTTAACATCCTAAACAACATGTGTCCCGCGGCTCCTGCCAACTCCAAAACTCATCACGATCGTATTGTTGTTTTAATGTGCGGCGCACATCGCCGTTCGACGCTCGTTCCTGAACTCGCACGATCCTCCATTCAAAAACGTGGCGCGTGCCACACCCCGCGCGCCGCCGAAAGAAACTAATTCCTTCCCCTTCGCGATCCTACATTAAAGATGTGGCGCGGGGCACATCCCATCCGCGCGGCCGTTCTGTGCCTCTCACGATCGTCCACGAGAAGCATGGTGCGGAGCACATTCGGCCCAAACGGCGCCTGCTCGAGGGCGGCGCGCGCTTTACAGGGACCGCCACGCGCCCTGAGGCGGCTTCCAAGGGCCGCCACGCGTTCTGCTCCTCGCTGCTCCTCACTGCTCCACGCGGCCTTCCCCGCTGGCTTGCCTGCGCCAGCCAGTGTGGCCTCATAATCATGCATGTGATGGGTGTCTAGGGTGGGTGGGATGTGAACGCCGCGACACTGTATGACACGTTCAGCATATTGACGTTTTCTTGCTCTTGTTCACCCTAAACCCTAAGCCCCACACCCGAAAAGCCGGCTGGGGCTCGCAAGTCCGAGGCCGCCTGCGGCCACGTGAGCCCCTGCGGGGGGTGCCTTGACGCCCCAGCGCCGATGGGGCCCGCAGCGGCAGGATGCTCGCAGCTGGTTGCCGAGAGGGCGGGCCCAGGCCTCCTCGCGCCGTTGAACAAATGCGACAAAGGGGGGGGGGGGGGCGGATGCGAGGCCAGGAAGGGCGCAGGCTGGGGGCGTGGCGGGCGGGCAAGCCCAGACTTCCTCGCGCTGCATGAAAAAAAAAACGGCCGGAAGTCCTTGGCAATCTTCGGCATCCCTCGCGTAGCGTTGCGGTGCCCTGGGGGCCTCACCAAGCCCTGGGATCGTCAAGAAACAGCTTGGGATGAGACGCCGGTCCTGGGGAAGAAGGGGTGCAGCTCTAACTCCCGTTTCGACTTATTCTAGATTGCATTTCAAACTCATGCAAATCTTTGGGCCGAACTTGCACGTGATTGTCTGCTACTATCTCACGCGTGCTTCTCGTGCTCGGTGCATTTCTCATGCTGCTCCTGAGCACGGTTTGACTAAGTGCACAATGTGTTGTTCGCTCGATGATGCACTTTTGCTGCACTTGCACGAAGAATGCACCACCACGATGGTGAAATGTTGGTGTGCTTTTGGTGCGCTAGCGCACCTTTACGATGGTGTACTGTTGGTGCACTGTTGCGCAAAAGGTGCGCCAGTACGACGTTACACGTTTGATACACACACTTGGTGCACGTGCGCAAAAAAGTGCACCACTACCATGGTGCACTGCTCATGCGCTTCTACAAAAAGTGAAGCTCTACAGGGTCAGTGTAAGACTGTAAGATCCTTCGGCCCGTGACTCTAACAATGGAGAGCAGCAGTTGTAGCGACAACAAACGAGAAAAGACACAAAAACGTGTTGACTGAAGCCGATTTAATCGGGTGCTCAGCTCAAAAGGTGCAGTTTGCCCGTTCGATCGGCGCGCAGATGCCAGGTCCGTTCCCCGTTGTTCCTCTTCCTCCGTCCTCCTGGCGCACGAGGAGGATGATATGTGACTAACAGACGAGACAAGAGACAATAAAACAATAAGGGATGATAGGAGAAGATACGCCGATACATTCACGTGTGTATGCAGACATCGATGATTCTAACTTCGTGCGTATAAGTGCACATTTATATAGAGAGAAAGAAAGACAACTAGACAAAGATATAGAGAGAGATAGACGGACAGAGAAACAGAGAGAGGGAGATAGAAAGAAAGAGAGCTACACAAAGAGGGCGAGAGAGAGAGAGAGAGACGACGACGACGACGACGACGACGACGACGACGACGACGACGACGACGACGACGACGACGACGACGACGACGATGACGACGACGACGACGACGGAGAGAGGAGGGAGGGGAGAGGAGACAGGAGGGGCAGGACTCGAGGTCGAAGGAGGCACAGGGTGGGGGGGGGCGGCGAGAGGTGCTGCTCTTCTCGGCAAAAGGGGCGCCACACGGCGCGCTTCGCTCGCCCCCCTCGGCAGGGCGGCGTCAGCCCTCGGGCCAGATCTGGGCCCCGTCCTTTCGGGAGACTCTTCATGGGGGGGGATCCCATGGGGGGATTGGATCCCAGGGGGGGGGATCCCGTAGGATCCCCTGGGGATCCCATGGGGGGGATCCCCTCCTGCCCCCCCATGGGATCCCCCCCCATGGAGAGTCTCCCGATCCTTGAGGCGCACCACCCGGCGGAAGAGCGCGACGGGCACCACGCCCTCGAAGCCCGGGCTCACGATGACCTCGTTGCTGCTCCGGTAGAGGGGGAGCCCCGCGCGGAGGGCGCCGTCGAGGTCCAGGTAGATGGCCAGGTCGCAGGTGCCCCGCATGCCGCTGAGGCTCCGAGGGACGGAATGGGCCGCAGAGGCATATAAGCTCTCGGAGCTCCGCGCCGGGAGGAGGAGGAGGAGGAGGAGGAGGAGGAGGAGGAGGAGGAGGAGGAGGAGGAGGAGGAGGAGGAGGAGGAGGAGGAGGAGGAGGAGGAGCCTCCAGCACAAGCGCAGGCTCCAGGAGATCCGCGCGGATCTCTTGGATCGGCGCTGGAACCCCATCCCCAGCGCGAGAAGCGCGCCGTGGGCGGCGCCAGAGGCGCCGCCAGGAGGGCCGAACGCCGATCCAAGAGATCCGCGCGGAGCTCCGAAAGTTAATGGAGAACCCTCTTGCGATGGATTTCGTTCTGAATGCAACATTGGAGACGTAACCGTCTCCTCCCGCCTCCCGCCTCCTCTCCTCCCTCCTCCTCTCCTGTCCCGCCTCTTCCTTGCCTCCCGCCTCGCCATCCTTGGGGGCTACGATGTGTGAGAGCGTCACCACTTTCGAGGGATACTGATAAGGGGGCCAGCGCAGGCGGTAGCTACACGGACTCAGACTAGACATCGCCGTCCCTGAGGGCTTCGAAGCGTGAGACTGTCACAACCTTATAGGGCTGCTGGGGGGGGAGGGCAGCAGAGTCGGGGGCTGCGTGGACTCAGATTACACCTCGCCATCCCCTGGGGGTGCTGCGGAGCGTGAAGTTGGCCCCACTGTCGAGGGCTGCAGGACGGGCCAGGATGGGCGGGGGCTGCGCGGACTCCGATTAGACCTCGCTATCCCCTGGGGGCTGCGAATTGTGAAGCTGTCCTCGTTGTCGCGGGCCGCTGGGGGGAGCAGCATAGTCGGGGGCTGCGCAGACTCAGATTAAACCTCGCCGCCCCTGGGGGTCTGCGAAGCGTAACACTGTCCCCGCTGTCGAGGGCTGCAGATGGGGGAGGGGGGAGACAGCATAGTCGGGGGCTGCGCGAACTCAGCTTAGACCTCGCCATCCCTGGGGGATGCGAATTGTCTAGCCCCTCCTGCTCCAAAGGGCTGCTGGGAGGGGCCAGCATAGTCGGAGGCTACGCGGACTCAGTTTAGACCTCGCCATCCCTGGGGGAGCTGGGAAGTGTGAAGCTGTCTCCACTGTCGAGGACTGCTGGGTTGGGCAGCATAGTCGGGGCCTGCGCGTATTCAGACTAGACCTCGCAATCCCTGGGTGGCTTCGAAGTGTGAACCTGTCGCCAATTTCTAAGGCTGCTGGGGGGGGAGGGGAGCATCATAGTGGGGGCCTACGCGGACTCAGTTTAGACCTCGCCATCCCTGGGGGGATGCGAATTGTGAAGCTGTCCCCGATGTCGAGGGCTGCTGATGGGGGCCAGCTTAGTCGGAGGCTACGCGGACTCAGATTAGACCTCGCCATACCTGGGTGGCTTCGAAGTGTGAATTTGAAGCCAGTGTTCGAAGGCTGCTTGGGACGGCAGCAGTCGGGGGCTACGCGGATTCAGATCAGACCTCAAAATCCCCAGGGGGGTGCGGATCATGAACTTGTCGCCACTTTCGTGGGCTGCTTTTTTCCCGGAAAGGGCTCAGGCCCAGGGTTCTCTTTTAGTAGGTAAACCTGTCCCCCGGTGCCAACTTGAGGGAGGCCGGCGAATTTTTTCCCTGATAAATAACGAGGTCGAAGGAGGCCGGCGAATTAAAATTTGAGGATGTCTCGAGCGAAACGCTTGTTTTTGAAATCCCGATCGATAAATCACAGGGTGCGGGCCACTTTTTCGTGTGTTGAGGATGTCTCGAGCGAAACGCTTGCTCCGCAGAGTTTGCCGAGGATGTCTCGAGCGAAACGCTTGTTTTGCAGAGCCGACCGCGACGCGGAAAAGCGCCCCGCGCGAAGGAATTTCGATGATGTCTCGACTAATTCCTTTGTTTTTGTACGATTTCCTGGAATTTTGGCAGGATGTCTCGAGCGAAATGCACGACCCCACCCTAGCACGACCATACCCCAGCACGACCACACCCCAGCACGACCAGACCCCAGCACGACCCCACCCCAGCACGACCCCACCCCAGCACGACCATACCCCAGCACGACCACACCCCAGCACGACCCGACCCCAGCACGACCCTACCCCAGCAAGACCACACCCCAGCACGACCACACCCCAGCACGACGCCCCAGCACGACCACGCCCCAGCACGACCACGCCCCAGCACGACCACCCCCAGCACGACCACGACCACCCCCAGCACGACCACCAGCACGCCCCAGCACGACCACACCCCAGCACGACCACACCCCAGCACGACCGCCCAGCACGACCCCACCCCAGCACGACCCCACCCCAGCACGACCATACCCCAGCACGACCACACCCCAGCACGACCCGACCCCAGCACGACCCTACCCCAGCAAGACCACACCCCAGCACGACCACACCCCAGCACGACCTCACCACAGCACGACCACACCCCAGCACGACCACGCCCCAGCACGACCACGCCCCAGCACGACCACGCCCCAGCACAACCACCCCCCAGCACGACCACCCCCCCAGCACGACCACACCCCAGCACGACCACCCCCCAGCACGACCACACCCCAGCACGACCACTCCCCAGCACGACCACACCGCCTTGGTTGAGTGGTTGCCTGTCGTCGTGGAATGTTTCGTGGGGTGTCTCGTGGAATGTTTCGCGGGGTGTCTCCTGGAATGTTTCGTGAGGTGTCTCGCGGAATGTTTCGTGAGGTGTCTCGTGGGATGTTTCGTGAGGTGTCTCGTGGGATGTTTCGTGAGGTGTTGCCCCGTTGGGTATCGTGAAAACGTGCCCATGCTCCACATGTCTATATCCCTTTCCGGGTTCGTGGGTCCATCATGTTGTTGGGGGGGGAGGCCAGCGGAGTGACGTCATACGCGGACTCAGATTAGACCTCGTCAATCCTTGGGGGCTGCGAACAGCGAAACAGTCGCCATTTGCAGGGGCTGCTGAGGGGGGCGAGCTTAGCGCAGTGCTGTACAGATCAGAACGGGACCTCGATATCTCTGGGCGGGTGCGAACTAGAAACTGTCGCCAAATTCGTGGGCTCCTTGGAGGGGCAGCTTACAAACGTGCTATGCAGATCAGAGCGGGACCCGGCCATCCTTGGTGGGCCTCACTCCTCGTCCTGCTGTGGCTGTCCTATGTGTCGTGCAGCGCGCAGGCATGCTACGCAGCTTGCACAACAAATGACGGCTCCTACGTTAACATCACCATCATCTATACTAATTTGAGCCACTTCCGCTTGTCGCTTGCTGCGAATGGGTTGGGTACGTCGCAGGGTAATGCAATTGTTCTGTTCCTCGGGATGACGCCGTCATCGGCGGGGAGGCCCGTGGCGAAGTGGACGTGGTTCCGGAACTTGGCCCCCTGCTTCCCCCCGGCAAGCAGCCCCCTCTCCAAGATGGAGCTCCAGTGCCTCGCCGACCAGCCACAAGTGGGGGAGCTGCTGTGTTCCGTACGTGAGGGACAGCGACACTTCGGGGGGACTGGCATGGGTGGATGGACATCGACATGGAATCGGTGATACACCGCGGCTAGATCGGCGATAGGCCCCAGATAGCAAAACCGCACGGTCATGGGCGGGGTGGGCTATCGGGCCCCTACCGGCGATCCATGGGCGATAGGCGATAGGGGGTCGATGCGTTCCCACCCTGAGCCTATCCTTAGGTTGGGCGTGTCCTCCTGCAGGCGGACCTTGGAAGAAAAATAAGAAGACTGTCAAACAATATTCCAACGTAGTCCAAACAGAATCGACAAATCGTCACCAAACTATTGCTGGAACTACTCTTGAATATTCCGTGTGTAGAGGGACAGGCCCGACTTAAGACTACCCCCTCCTATCGTTGCCCCTGATTACCCCCCTGGGGGGACTCATCGTGACGACGACCTGCCGAGGTGGCTGTCAAAATCGACGGGCCTCCCAGGGGGGTAAGGACCACAGCTCCTCGCATTGAGGCTGGCTAGAAGGCCACATGCGACCCCTACCCCACCACCCCACGATTTCTATGGGGGGAGGTGGGGTTCACTTCGATCGAGACTTCCCGAACGAAGTGAACCCCACCTCCCACCTTAGAAATCTTGGGGTGGTGGAGTAGGGTTCGCATGGGGCCTCCTAGAATTGAGGCTGGTCTGCCTCGCGTAGGTCCCGTGCACCACCTGCGATGGCAGGTTGGCGCCGCCTGGCCACAGCCGGTCGAGCAGCAGATCGTCACTGACCCCCTTCATGGAGTGCCCCTGGTTGGCGCGGATGAACCGCTTGCCGTCGATCACCGCCAGGGTGAAGCGCTGCTTGTCGTTGTCCCGCACGATCCTTGCGAGGCGGCGCGCCGGAACGGGGGCGGGGCGCGGGGAGGCAGGGGCGGGATAGGCTTCGGTCGGGCATGTCCCCCTAGAGGCGGATTTGGGTAGAAAAATGATAAATGGTCAAAACAAGTGCAACAATTTGCAAAACAGTTGTCAAACAAATCGTCCCCATATTATTCCCGGAAAGGGCGGGGGCCCAGGGTTCTCTTTTAGTAGGTAAACCTGTCCCCCGGTGCCAACTTGAGGGAGGCCGGCGAATTTTTTCCCTGATAAATAACGAGGTCGAAGGAGGCCGGCGAATTAAAATTTGAGGATGTCTCGAGCGAAACGCTTGTTTTTGAAATCCCGATCGATAAATCACAGGGTGCGGGCCACTTTTTCGTGTGTTGAGGATGTCTCGAGCGAAACGCTTGCTCCGCAGAGTTTGCCGAGGATGTCTCGAGCGAAACGCTTGTTTTGCAGAGCCGACCGCGACGCGGAAAAGCGCCCCGCGCGAAGGAATTTCGATGATGTCTCGACTAATTCGTTTGTTTTTTCCCGGAAAGGGCTGGGCCCAGGGTTCTCTTTTAGTAGGTAAACCTGTCCCCCGGTGCCAACTTGAAGGAGGCCGGCGAATTTTTTCCCTGATAAATAACGAGGTCGAAGGAGGCCGGCGAATTAAAATTTGAGGATGTCTCGAGCGAAACGTTTGTTTTTGAAATCCCGATCGATAAATCACAGGGTGCGGGCCACTTTTTCGTGTGTTGAGGATGTCTCGAGCGAAACGCTTGCTCCGCAGAGTTTGCCGAGGATGTCTCGAGCGAAACGCTTGTTTTGCAGAGCCGACCGCGACGCGGAAAAGCGCCCCGCGCGAAGGAATTTCGATGATGTCTCGACTAATTCGTTTGTTTTTGTACGATTTCCTGGAATTTTGGCAGGATGTCTCGAGCGAAATGCACGACCCCACCCTAGCACGACCATACCCCAGCACGACCACACCCCAGCACGACCAGACCCCAGCACGACCCCACCCCAGCACGACCCCACCCCAGCACGACCATACCCCAGCACGACCACACCCCAGCACGACCCGACCCCAGCACGACCCTACCCCAGCAAGACCACACCCCAGCACGACCACACCCCAGCACGACCTCACCACAGCACGACCACGCCCCAGCACGACCACGCCCCAGCACGACCACGCCCCAGCACGACCACGCCCCAGCACGACCACCCCCCAGCACGACCTCACCACAGCACGACACGACCACCCCAGCACGACCACGCCCCAGCACGACTCAACCACCCCCCAGCACGACCACCCCCCCAGCACGACCACCCCCCAGCACGACCACCCCCCAGCACGACCACACCCCAGCACGACCACTCCCCAGCACGACCACACCGCCTTGGTTGAGTGGTTGCCTGTCGTCGTGGAATGTTTCGTGGGGTGTCTCGTGGAATGTTTCGCGGGGTGTCTCGTGGAATGTTTCGTGAGGTGTCTCGTGGAATGTTTCGTGAGGTGTCTCGTGGGATGTTTCGTGAGGTGTCTCGTGGGATGTTTCGTGAGGTGTTGCCCAGTTGGGTATCGTGAAAACGTGTCCATGCTCCACATGTCTATATCCCTTTCCGGGTTCGTGGGTCCATCATGTTATTTGAACTATGTGGAGATATCCCTCCTGTCGAGGGACGTGCCCGACGTAAGCTAAGAGGGGGGCGGCGGCCTCTTCTGGAGCGTGCCCGCCGAGCCCACGCCTGGCTGCGGGGCGTGAGACTCCCGAGGGGCCACGCCGCGAGCCTCAGCCCCCATGTCCTCTGCCTCCCCCTCCTCCTCCTCCTCCTCCTCCTCCTCCTCCTCCTCCTCTCCTCCTTCCTCCATCCTCCTCCTCCTCCTCATCCTCCTCCTCCTCCTCCTCTCTCCTCCTCCTCCTCCTCCTCCTCCTCATCCTCCTCTCCTCCTCTCCTTTTCCCGGAAAGGGCTCAGGCCCAGGGTTCTCTTTTAGTGGGTAAACCTGTCCCCCGGTGCCAACTTGAGGGAGGCCGGCGAATTTTTTCCCTGATAAATAACGAGGTCGAAGGAGGCCGGCGAATTAAAATTTGAGGATGTCTCGAGCGAAACGCTTGTTTTTGAAATCCCGATCGATAAATCACAGGGTGCGGGCCACTTTTTCGTGTGTTGAGGATGTCTCGAGCGAAACGCTTGCTCCGCAGAGTTTGCCGAGGATGTCTCGAGCGAAACGCTTGTTTTGCAGAGCCGACCGCGACGCGGAAAAGCGCCCCGCGCGAAGGAATTTCGATGATGTCTCGACTAATTCCTTTGTTTTTGTACGATTTCCTGGAATTTTGGCAGGATGTCTCGAGCGAAATGCACGACCCCACCCTAGCACGACCATACCCCAGCACGACCACACCCCAGCACGACCAGACCCCAGCACGACCCCACCCCAGCACGACCCCACCCCAGCACGACCATACCCCAGCACGACCACACCCCAGCACGACCCGACCCCAGCACGACCCTACCCCAGCAAGACCACACCCCAGCACGACCACACCCCAGCACGACCTCACCACAGCACGACCACGCCCCAGCACGACCACGCCCCAGCACGACCACGCCCCAGCACGACCACGCCCCAGCACGACCAGCACGACCCCCCCAGCACGACCACCCCCCAGCACGACCACCCCCCAGCACGACCACACCCCAGCACGACCACTCCCCAGCACGACCACACCCCAGCACGACCCCCACACCCCAGCACGACCACACCCCAGCACGACCACACCCCAGCACGACCCCACCCCAGCACGACCCCACCTCAGCACGACCCCACCTAGCAAGACCACACCCCAGCACGACCACACCCCAGCACGACCTCACCACAGCACGACCACACCCCAGCACGACCACGCCCCAGCACGACCACGCCCCAGCACGACCACGCCCCAGCACAACCACCCCCCAGCACGACCACCCCCGAGCACGACCACCCCAGCACGACCACCCCCCAGCACGACCACACCCCAGCACGACCACTCCCCAGCACGACCACACCGCCTTGGTTGAGTGGTTGCCTGTCGTCGTGGAATGTTTCGTGGGGTGTCTCGTGGAATGTTTCGCGGGGTGTCTCCTGGAATGTTTCGTGAGGTGTCTCGCGGAATGTTTCGTGAGGTGTCTCGTGGGATGTTTCGTGAGGTGTCTCGTGGGATGTTTCGTGAGGTGTTGCCCCGTTGGGTATCGTGAAAACGTGCCCATGCTCCACATGTCTATATCCCTTTCCGGGTTCGTGGGTCCGTCATGTTTTCTTCTTCCTCTTCTTCCTCCTCCTCCAACTCCTCCTCCTCCTCCCTCCCCCCCTCGCCCTGCAGCCCCCCTCCTCCGCCCCCGCGGCGGGGGCCTCTCCACCTGCTCGGGGGTGGCCTTGAACTTCTCCAGCATCTTGCACCCGAGCACCTCGTGAGGGGCCCATGTCCACCACCACTACCAGATCATGCTGGACGGAGGAGAAAGAAGGATGAGGAGGTCCTCCTCCTCCTCCTCCTACTCTCCGCCTCCTCCTCCTCCTCCTCCTCCTCCTCCTCCTCCCCCTCCTCCAGCACTCCTCCTCCTCTCCTCCTCCTCCTCCTCCTCCTCCTCCTCCTCCTCCTCCTCCTCCTCCTTCCTCCTCCTCCTCCTCTCCTCCTCCTCCTCCTCCTCCTCCTCCTCCTCTTCCTCCTACATATGGTAGTGGTGATGGAGAATGGGCCCTGCACCTCGCTCAGCACGAGGTAGCCGTCGGGCCGCACCGCCAGCGACAGGTCAGCAGCCTTGTGCCTGCACACCTGGCCGGCCCCGGCAGGCCCCGGGGCGCACCGCGGGCGCCCGCGCTGCCCCTCCGAAGGGGGGGCCGCTTTCCCCTCCGCCAGCCTCCGCCGGCACAGCCGCCCGCGGGGGAGGAGGAGGGAAGAGGGAGGAAGAAGGAGAAGGAGGAGGGGGAGGAGGAGGACGGGAGGAGGGAGGAGGGAGGAGCGGAGGAGGAGGAGGAGGGGGAGGAAGGAGGAGGAGGAGGAGGAGGAGGAGGAGGAGAGGAGGAGGAGGAGGAGGAGGCGGAGGCGGAGGGAGGAGGTGGAGGGGGAGGGGGAGGGGAGAGGGCGAGGAGTGAGGAGGGGGAGGATAGGAGGAGGAGGAGGAAGGAGGAGGAGGAGGAGGAGGAGGAGGAGGAGGAGAGGAGGAGGAGGAGGAGGTCCGCCGGCCCTCCGCCGAGGGCGAACCAGACACCGCGGTCTCGGCCCCCCCCCCCCCCTTCTCGCCCCCCCTCCCCCCCCCCTCTCCCCTTCCGCTTCCCGCCTCCTCTTCCTCTCTTCCCTCCTCTCCCCCCAGCCCCCCCCCCCCCCCCCCCCGCCTGCGGGCTGGACGTCCCTGCCTCGAGCCCTGGAAGGGCGAGGCCCCTTCCCCGACTGGCCACACACAGCATGCCACCCCCCCTCCCCTCCACTCTCCTCCTCCTCCCGCGCGGAGGGAAAGGGGTCCTGGACCCTCGGGCTTTCAGCCAGACCAGCGCCTCATCCCATGCCGCATGCCAGTTGTGCACGGCCCTGCGGCACGCGCAGAGCCCTGGGAGCCCGAAGACGGCACGGCCAACCCGTGTCATAACGATGCGGCAAGGGCCTTGGAAGGCCACGTCGAAGACTTTCGAGCGGGGCGCGGCCCACGAACGTGGCCAGGCATGGGCCGAGGAGGCAAGGATGCAAGGGTACCCTTGGGAAGGCTGTCCATCCTTACCATGCGGGCCGACTGTGAGAAACATCAGGACCACGTTCAGTCGGCACCCCAGTGCCTCATGGTGACCTCACCTCTCCCTTCCCACTCCCCTCCTCCCCCGCCCCCTCCGCCCCTCGATCCCTCCTCCCCTCCCCCCTCCCTGACCCCAGCCCTCCTCGATCCCTCGAAGGTCAGGCTGCCCCCCGGGACAACAAGCAGCCTGCGACCAGTCAGCAGCGGGGGCAGCGGGCCCCGAGGGACACGGTCCCTGGGCCCCGGGGCCTTCCCCCAATGGCCACTTCTTCGTTCCGGGTCGTCTTCTGACCGCCCTCGGGGCCCGCAGAGGGCCCGAAGACAGCGAAAAACCCAGATTGGGAGCCGCTTCCCTCGGGGGCCCGCTCCCCCCCGCCCCGTGGCGAACAGAACGCCCTCGCCGCCGAGGAGCTTCTGCCCGTCAACCAACTCCTATACCCCCTCCGGCCGCCAGCAGCACGGCGGAGGGAGACAACTATAGAACACTCCCCCTCCTTCCTCCCCCCCAAACCCAAAGTTCGCACGCGCAGGGGGGGGGGGCGGGGAGACTGCGGCCGAGGTGCAGCTCCTCAGACCCACCGCCAGCTTCGAACATCTTGGGGGCCGGGGGAGGCCCTGACAGAAGCACGTGGCACGCGTGCTCGCCATTCTTTCCCGAGGCCCGTACCGCCAACGCTCGGCCTCCACCAGCCCTCCGCCGCCCCCCACCCCGAGCCCTGCATCGACCGCCCCCGCTCCACCCTCCTCGTCGCCCGGCCCGTCCCCCGAGGACACGTCGGCAACCTCTGGGAAAACGAGCGAAGAACCGCCACCATCGCGCCGGAGTGCGTTTCCCTCGGGGGATGGGCGGAACGGGCCGCAGCCCTCAGACACTGGAGCGCTCGTAGTACACTCACCGGCAGCAGCAAAACTCCTTCTCCATGTCTCTCCACCATTCGTTGTCTGTAGCACTAGGTCGGGCATGTCCCCCTATTGGTGGATTTTGGACGAAAAATAAAACATGCTTAAAAAGTACTCCCCAAATGCCCAAACATAGTCAACAAAACGTCCCCATACTGTTCCCGGAAAGGGCTTGAGCCCAGGGTTCTCTTTTAGATGGTTTCCCCCCGGGTTTGACGGGAAGAGGGCCGGCGAATTTCTTTTGCGATAAATAACGAGTGGGAAGAGGGCCGGCGAATTAAAATTTGAGGATGTTTCGAGCGAAACGCTTGTTTTTCAGAATTTGTTGAGGATGTCTCGAGCGAAACGCTTGTTTTGTGTTATAGATTGTTCTCTCCTGGGGACCTGAATTCTGAGGCTCTCTCAAGTGGATTGCTTATTTTCACGTGCCCAGGTCTTGAGGATGTCTCGAGCGAGACGCTTGGTTTCACGCCTCCAGGTGGCCCAGACAGATGTCTAGCACGAGGATTTGTTGAGGATGTCTCGAACCAGAGGCTTGTTTTCAAGTGTCCAGGTCGCCCAGGCGGATGTCTAGCATGAGTATTTGTTGAGGATGTCTCGAGCGAGACGCTTGTTTGCACGTGTCCAGGTTGCCCAGGCGGATGTCTAGCATTAGGATGTGCTGACAACGTCTAGACCGAAACGCGTGTTTTCACGTGTCCAGGTCGCCCAGGCACAGCACAGCCCTCGGCACGGTACATCAATATCGATACCCGTAGCATTGCAGCCTGGCATGTTGCCTGGCACGTTCCGCGGAGCGTCCCGTGGCGAGTCCCCCTGGCACGTCGCGCAGTGCACGTCCATTGGCACGTTCCGTAGCGCGTCCCTTTGGCACGTCCCGCGGTGCGTGCCCATGGCACGTCCCTTGGCACGTCGCCTGGCGCGTCCCTTGGGACGTTCCGCGGCGCGTCCTCTTGGCATGTTCACTCTGTCGATTAGTTCTGGGGCAGCTACCATCTGCTCAGGCAGCTCGAGCTTACGACACAGATCAGTTCGGTGAGGACTCGGATGCCAGGGAGGACTCGATCCACAATGCTATTTAGAGCACAATCGCGGCATGGCACATCGCAGTTCAGCACGGCCCAGCACAGCACAGCCGTCGGCACGGTACATCAAGATCGATACACTCAACTATGCACCTTGGCACGTTCCTTGGCGCGTTCCGTGGCGAGTCCACCTGGCACGTTGCGCGGCGCGTCCCCTGGCACGTCCCTCGGCACGTCCATTGGCACGTTCCGTAGCGCGTCCCCTTGGCACGCCCGCGGTGCGTCCCCATGGCACGTCCCCTGGCACGTCGCCTGGCGCGTCCCTTGGGACGTTCCGCGGCGCGTCCTCCTGGCATGTTCCCTCTGTCGATTAGTTCTGGGCAGCTACCATCTGCTCAGGCAGCTCGAGCTTACGCTCCAGATCAGTTCGGTGAGGACTCGGATGCCAGGGAGGACTCGATCCACAACGCTATAGATGGAGCACAATCGCGGCATGGCACATCGCAGTTCAGCACGGCGTAGCACAGCACAGCCCTCGGCACAGTACATCATCATCGATACATTCAGCCTTGCATGTGCCCGTCGCCCAATCAGGTGTCTTTGAAATGTTGCAATGCCTTACATTTCTATATTCCTTTCCGGGTTCGTGGGTCGATCATGTTTTTTTTCATACTTTTTGGATATCCCTCCTGGAAAGGGACAGGCCCGACCTGACTGCAGCAACGTGCAACCGAAGGGACAGGCCTGACCTAACTGCAGCAACGTGCAACCAACTCGTTCCATCCACAGCATCTGACGTCCAAGAGGAGCTGCAAGGTCTGGGAGCGTCCGGAGGAGCGTCCGAGGGCTCCCCCCGAACCCTCTCCGGGAGCCTCTTTTTCCTTGGGCTCCGGCAAGCTTACTTGCATGGCGTTCGCCCCCCACCCCTGCGAGGCGGGGATCTATCCATATCCACCGCCTGGGAAACGACGTCCGGGTGCCCCAGCGGACCGTGGATCTGGAGATGTTGGCCCCCGGGGGCCCGAGTAGATCCATATCCGCCGCCTGCGAGGGTCCCCGAAAATTGACCCTCTGGGCGGTGGTCCTGTATGAATTCCAGCCTCGGAGCCCCGTCCCCCACCCCGCGCCCCTCTTCAAGCGAGTACGAGCAGGCAGGTGCCTCTCGACTCGCGTGGTTTCCGCACGCCCAATGGTTGGCGGCCTGCCTCGGGTACAGCCCCCCACCCCCTTGTCCATACAAGCAAACTTGCCAGAGCCTAAGGAAAAAAGGTCCCATCGATCACCCCTGCCCAGAAGGCGGATGGTTCCACGCGCCGGGGAGTCGCCCGGCCCGCCGGGCGACCCCCGGGGACCGTCCAGAACAGCATAGTCCGAAACACGTAGTCCCCGCTCCCCTCTCGTCGTCTATCCCGTCGCTGGAGGGCCTTTTATGGAACTTCCTGGAACGCCCGGAGGCGACGGCAGCAGACCGCTGGAAACCTCCGGCATCTCTTGGCTGGATGCGCTGAAAACTGTCCGAGCACCTTCTTCTCACCTCGTCCTCATCCTCGTCCTCGACCTCCTCGTCCTCATTCTCCACTTCCTCCTCCTCCTCCTCCTCCTCCTCCTCCTCCTCCTCCTCCTCCTGCTCACCATCATCATCATCATCATCATCATCATCATCATCATCATCATCATCATGATCATCATCATCATCATCATCATCATCATCATCATCATCATCAGCAGCATCCGCATCATCATAATCATCATCAGCAGCATCATCATCAGCATCAGCATCATAACATCATTCCTCATCAATCATCATCATCATCATCATCCTCCTCAGTCATCACATCATCATCATCATCATCATCATCATCAGCGTCAGCATCATCATCAATCATAATCATCACATCATCATCCTAAAGCTCATCCTCATGTATCCTCCTCATCCTATTGTGTCCTCTCATCACGTCGTCCCCTCCTCTTCTTATCCTCCCTCTTCGCCCCCCTTTTCCTCCTCCCCCTCCTCCTCCTCCTCCCCTCCTCTCATCCTCCCTCCTCCTCCTCCTCCACCCTCCCTCCTCCTCCTCCTCCTCCTCCTCCTCCTCCTCCTCCTCCTCCTCCTCCTCCTCCTCTGTCTC